CGGGGCCCCGCGTCCGCCGCGCTGCAGCCCGAGGAGGTGGCGGCGCGGCTGCAGCGGATGCGCCGGGAGCTGAGCAACCGCCGGAAAATCCTGGTGAAGAACCTGCCCCAGGACAGCAGCTGCCAGGTGCGGGGACGGGCGCGGGGCGCCGGCCGGGCTCCGGGGAGAAGCCGCCCCCAGGGCTCCGGCCGGGGCCGGCCGCCGTGCAGCGGGCGGGGCAGGAGGGGTGGGCGCAGAGCGACGAGCACGGGCGGTCGCTTTTGCACCGTGGCGGTCCCCCGGCGAGAGTGGCAGATAGGAAACCGAGGCTGCGAGAGGCGAAGCGGCTTGTCCAAAGTCATGGGAATCAGGGGCGGCTGCTTGGAAGTCCGGCCCGCTCCTCCCTGCCCGGGTGGCCCGGGGGTGTGTATGGGGGAAGGGGTCGGGCGAGCAGGAGGGGAAGGAGAGTGGAGGTGAGCTGGGCAGCACAGATTTGGGGGGCCAAGTCTTCGGGAGCCCCGTGAGAGGGGCGGAGGGTCCCGCCTGGGGTCCTGGGGACCTGGTGTGCCATGGGGGCGGGGTCACGGGCGAGCTGGGAGCGAGTTTTGCTGCTGCAGAAGCGCTTGACCAAGTTTGTATGAAACAACCGTGTCGGCTCAGCCTGCGGAGGCCCCGGCGTAGAGAGGTCCTCCTGCGCCCCGGGGGCCTCGCGGCGGTCTTCTGCCGTGCCGAGGACTGGAGGAGGTGTAACTCGGAGAGGCTCAAAGACAGGCTACTCTGTGTCTGATCCAGATTAACTGTTGCTTTCAGATGAGAAGCTCTGCATCTGTTTGACTTTTTCCCCCTCGATTGCCAAAGTTACATGCTCGTTGTAGGAAAGCGAGAAAATACAGAGAAGCGCAAAGAGGGAAACAGAAGTCGCCTGCATTTCCAACACTTAAGGATAATCGTTGTTAACGTGGGATATTATCTTTCTTTTCCTGGGCGTATGTATGCGTCTTTTTTTTTTTTTAACCAAGAAATGAGATCTTTTTTTATTCTTTAGGGTTTCTTAATTGTCTACATGTTCACGTATATTTCACTTATAACTTGAATTTATATGCTCTGCGTGGATGGGGAAGGTGGGCTGTCCTGGTAGTTGCAGAGATGGGCCAGTTCATGTAGTTCCTCCTGTAACGGGATGCATGGAATTGCAGAGGGCTGGCTATTGATAATTGCAGGGCAGTTCTTCCATAAGATCCATAAAATAATGAGACCAACGCCTCGTTCCTGTGTAATCAGACCTCACATGGCCTCTCGCAATAAATGTGAGCGTATAACCTTATAACCCGTAGGCACGAGGGGCCATTTTGTTTCAAAAAGCAATGTAAAAAAGTCTCTGTTAGTATTGTGTATGTCATCCCTCCTTCAACTCTTTCCATCGTCGTCTACTTCCCATGAGGCAGGTCATGTTTTGTGATGCTGCCTGTAAGGACCACTGCAATGGACTGCTTTCACAGAAACAGCTTTCTCCTGCCCGAGCAAATAGAGGACAGCAGGGGAGCTCAGAAAGAGAGGCGCTTGGAAGAGGCAGATGGTGTTTAAAAAAACAAGTTGAAGAAATAGCAGCTCTGTGTGTAGGTAATCTAGAAGAGGGATGGAGAGGTGTCTTGATTTCCTTTGTAAGAATGTCAACTATTTTTCTTATCACATTTCCTTGCATTAATTCTAAAAATATTTGGACCCAAAATTCTAGACAGTCTCTTCTTGCTTTGCTGTTGGTATCTTTCTCATTTCCCTTCTCGAGAGACATGAAAAAATACATCAAAAGGGTCTAATAAAAGGTTTTCATTACCTGGTGTTAGTGATGGTGAGAATTTTATGAGAATTACACTGATTCGTATTTTTGAGATATTCCTCTGTTGTGAATTTATGTTTAGCCTCAATCTTAGGATTTTCTGTAAGATAGCAGGCGTGAACTATTGAATAAAATTGTTATAAGATCCGTGTGTATGGATGTGTCTTTTACTGCCGAGTAAAATATCTTAAATTTTTATGTTAAATTATTATGCCTTGCTTTTTGAGAGCTGAAGAGTTTCATCTAAAAGCAAGAAAGTTGTTAGGACCTAGAGACTAGTTTCCAGACTTGTTCTAGCATTGATTTTGTTTTTCCTGTAGTGATTTCCATAATAAGTTTTTTTAATATTTCTGATGTGTAGTTTTAAAATCTAAGCAGATCAATATTTGATTACAGATAATGTTTGTTTGAGTAGTGTGTTTTTTTTCCTATCATCTTCCAGACTTGTTCCTTTGCTAGTTTTCTGATCACAATCATGTTGTAACTATCAGTGGTCTGTGTTACGTAAATAAGTAGAATAGACCAAAGTATGCTAATTTCTAACAGGAATTAAGAGACAGGCTTTTCTTTAGGTTACTTGGATTGAGAATTGCTATTTTTATTGGTCCAATAAAATTAATATTTACATATACATTTTCTCAAGTTGTAGTATTTTCATGAATATATTCTGCAAGGATTTTTTGTATTTTATCTTATTTCCCGTAACAATTCTGTCTGTTTTTTCCTAGTGGCTGCATTTTACTGTCAATTGACTAATGAAAGTTTAATTTTAATTTTATTTTGTGCCTTTTAGTAGCTATCAGCTGGCTACACTACATATTTACTCCTGATGAAATGACTAACATGGTTAAAAAAAAGTTATCACTTTTTGTTCAGTTAAGTAATCAGGGATTTTAAATACTTGAATTCTTGTTCTTTTCTATAAGAGTCTGTGTTCGTTCGTGCATTTATTTTAGAATATCATGTTAAGGATTAACACCATTCCTAACTCTAGTTCTCAAACTGTATGGTTATGTCTCTAGGAAAGCTACCTTGGTAACTGATTAGTAGAAGCCCAATAACTTTTTTTTTAACATTTTGAAAACATGAGTATTTTCTTCATTAAACGTAATTGTCATAAATCTTACCCAAATTTTCTTTAATTTTTGGTAAGACAGATTTATAATAGCATTCCACAGCTTTACACTTCTGTGATGAGAAGGCACACTGAAAGTATTTTTCAGTGGGAGCTTTTAAAGGTACCTATATCAAATACCTTACAGGAACACTAGCTTGGAAAAAATGAACACCTTTATACTAATAAGTTCTCAAAGGCTGTCTCGTTGCGTAGTTACTGTGCGGCCAGTAGGTGCTGTCTGGTCGGCCTCCTACGCTTTCTCCAGTCCTAGCCCTCTGTTTTCAGGGCCTCCCCTCTGGTCCGTGTCCTTTGCATCTCTTGCAAAGACTATTACAAGTTTTCTGTTTGTCACCTGCCCTTGTGATTGTCCTGTCTTTTATGTTTTAGCCCATCCTGCTTACTGCTTCCCTTGAGAGAGCTTCCCAAAGCACAAATCTGGTCCTGTCACTCTCCAAAAAAAAAATCTTTGACTTCGCGTTCCCAGCGCTGCTTCTCAAACTTTTCCTCAAATTGTCCCTCATCTTGTCTCTTTTCCTCAAATTGTAAGGAATGGTGAACCTGAATTAGCTTCAGGTGTGAAATTGCTTTGAAGCTGCCTGTGCTGTCTGAAAAATTCATATTAATTTTATGTTCTACTAGTGAAACTGGATTTAATATAAAAAGAGTGACTTAAATTTGTTGAACTCGCCTCCAAATTTTGTTTCAGAAACTTGATGCTTGTGGAAGATGCACCTTATTTATCCTGTGATTTTTCCATTCTCCTTTATTGCCGTGGACGACTCAGACCTCAGTTTGAAAGCATGGTCTGATAGGATAGAAATCTAAGCTTCTGGGCTTCTTGTGACTTGGTTTCTGTCTACATTTCCAGTCTCATTTCTTATTAGTCCTGCATTGGATTCTAGTTTTATCAAGCTACCTAGATCCCTAAGTCCTTCATGCCACTGTGATTTGGATATTTATAGTTATATCTTTGAATGTCAGTGTTTTGAAATGTAATTATAGTGATTATCATGAATAATATTTATAATAAGTATTATAATTATTTATAGTGAATCATAACGATGTTGTGAACATTGGTTCCTATTCAGAATGGCCATTGTGTGTGTGAATAGTCTTTTGCAACTCTGAATTAAGAACTTTGATTAGTTAAGGTAATGCCTTACTATGTGTTTTTTATTGCATTTCTATAAATTGTTTATATTTTATGGTTAACCTGGTTCTGTTTCAATAGCATTGTTGCTGGAGTTTCAACATGGAGAAAACAGTGGCATTTATTTTCTGTATCATTTGAGCTCACTCAGTTTCTTGTCATTTGTGTGTACATGTGTTTTATTTTTGTTGTGTTTATTTTAAAATCTGAAAGAGATTCTATTGTGTAATTAGAAGAAAATGTGAAGTGCTTAGGGCTAACAGCCAGATCAGTAATAGAAGAAACATCCTATTGTCTCTCTTTGGGTGTTATTAACTTCCCTGTGAAGTGCTGTATTATGGTAGTTAATTGAGAAGCTTGATGGTTAATTCACAGAGGCCCATTTGAAAGCATAGTGTTATCAGCTAAGCACTTGTAGAATAACAGACCACCAGATGTAGGAAACACTGGTTGGTTTTCTTTTTAAAAGCTACTTATTCCCATTTTTCTTTTACATTAGTCAAACACCAATAGAATTTTCTCATATGCTTTGTGTTCTTTAACTGTGGGATTTAAAAATAGACATTATTTGTTTTCTCTAACAATATATTCAGTAATTATTGCCTCTTTTTAAAATAGGGCTGCTAGTCACCACTTTTTCTTGACAATGCTGAGATGTTTTCACATTTTGAAATTATTCTTTTTCTTACTGAGAATGCCATTTTGCTTACTTCCGCAAGTTACTTTTCTTAGTGTGGTTTGTACTGCTTAAAATTATCTGTTACATTTTCTTTTCTAATGTGGTTAATCAGAATTGAATTATGGGTTCCACTTCTTTTCCATGATTTTATTATTCTAGTCCCAATGTCACAAGGGCACTGAAAGCTGCTAGAGGAATATACTTCTAGATTTCTGGGACACCACTGTCTGGGTAAGTGTCTAGTCTTGGCAGAAATTCTTGACAAGTGTTTCAGCAATGCTTGTTCTCTGCCCTGAGAACACACTCGAGGAGCACTTGGTGGTTAGCTTCCGATGCTGGGTGTTAACAAGCAGTCGAAGGAACT